AAAATACCTATTTTCAGCACGCTGTGTTGTCACATATAGATCGTGCATACAGTGGCATGTTAGGCTCATTGCTGAGGCCAATCTGTGTGTGTGTGCGTGTGTGTGTGTGTGTTCTTTGGTCACTACCCAAAGCTCATCATTTACATCACTCAATTTATCTTGTTTATTTAATTTAATAAAATTGAATAAAGTAATAAAGTAATTTAATAAAAATAAATTATTCATTAACCAATAGGTGAATTTAGTGTAAAGATGTTCTTTAAAATGCACTAATAAACTCTGGTCACCTAATTTTCTGATTATCTTTACCTGCACTGGCCAGTGCCATCTTCACAGCCTTATAAACAAACCTTTGCCATGATGCAACCAAAAAGCAGTCTCAGGGATTGAGCACATTAAGCACAATGAATACCTGTGCCTTCCACTGGGATGACTGTGAATTTGTGATTTGCTGTAGACAGTTGAGAGCGAAGAGGCAGCTTGTTAAATGAGGGTAAGCCTGGTCGAGCAGGCAGTCCCACACAGCTCTCAACTGACATTATTGAACAGATGGCATGAGAGGTCCACACTCATAGAACAGGACACCCCAAGTGCTAAATAAACCAGAATACCAAGAAATAATACCGCAGCTGGCCTGCTCTGTATTTTTCTGCGAGGGATGGAATAATCCTGCAGCGCTAGGATGAAAATAAAAGGCTCTGCTTTGCTGGAGGCTGATTAAGATTAAATTGTGTGCTCGAAGACATTTTAGGACCAATTCAACAACACAGGTGGTCCGTGTAGTCAAAAACAATACTCACAGTCAGGTCCATAAGAAATTGGGCAGTGACACAATTTTAATAGCTTTGCCTCTATATTCCACTATAATGGATTTTCAATGAGGCAATCACAATGTGGCTAAAGTGCATGCTTTCAGCTTTAATTTGAGACATTTAATGAACATATTGCATTAATTGTTAGGAAATAAGCAATTGATTTTAGTCCGTCAATTTTTACAGGCTCAAAAATAATGGACTGACGTCAGACCAACATGTTGGCAAACCTGCTGGCTTTAAAAGTCAGAGGAGGGTGTGGCAGAGGAGCACGGCTTTGTGAAAACAGAGAGACACTGCTGGCTTAGGATCAGCAGACCAAATCAAGCATAAAACTGGTGTATTAAATTGAGCAAAAGTTTTGACCTACCGCCCTAAATGACATGAAAGTATGCTGCATTAAAATCTGTCAAAAAATTAAGTAAATGTAACCCCATGCTAGCAAGAACAAAGGTGTCCAATTATATAAATGTTAAACTATATACATGTATAAACTAAAAAGTCAAATTTATGGCTTTTTGGTTTAAAATAAGCTTGCTCAACCAGAATCCACCTGCTATCAGTTGCGTGAGGCCACATTTTCTGCAAACAAATCAGCAACTTTGCTCCACTGCTTGGGTGTTGTTTCTTTCCCCCCTTTTTTTTCATAATAGCACATGAGTAAAGACAAGAGCAAAAATAGGCCCCCAAGGACCAATAAAAACAAACTCTTGCCTGTAACTGAATTACCTCCCACCTCCCCTAAGCCATGTCCCTCAGCCCTGGTGGTTGAGCTTCTAATGCATTTTCCACTGGTGATGAGGAAAAGGCACACTGACAGGAGAATCAGCTTTCTCAGAGATGGTAATGGGGGGGAAAGAGGAGCCTCCAGCCCAGTTCCAAATCCTAATGTGTAGAGCAGGGCTGCCAGAAAGGAGGGAGTCGTGGTGAGAGGCTGTGGGATTGGTGGGATTATAATGGCTTTTGGAGCGGATGAGAGGTGCAGATGGGCTGTGGGAGGAAGCTGGGTCCAAAACCCAGTCCCGATCGCAGACGTCACTCATGTAGATGGCACCGTTTCGCTCAGCACCGCATCATAAATCCAATTAGACACTCAAATCCATATTAACACATGCATAAAGATGCAGGCAGGCGCACACAGACAGTCAGGACCATACTGCAAGTACAAAATATTTGTTTTGAGAGGAAATTCATCACACAAATTGGAATCTGCATTTCTACAGCATTAAAAATCCAACTGCCAGCAAATGTTTTCTTCTGTCTTCGTGCCCTTCCTCAAAGAAGGACAGAGCTGTTGCTCTTCATAAAGTCAAAACAAACTCCACTTCTAAATCATAAAGACAAGCAGAGAGAAGCCTTCAGACTGACTCATAAAAGGTGTTTTCTTCCCCTCTGGCACGAGGCCTAAACAGTCTAACCTCAACAGTTTCATATTATCTGAGATCATAAAACCTCGCAAAATCGATTCTTGACATTTTTCCATCATTGACCCAACCGCTGCAATTTCATACATTAGGTGCCAAGAATCAATCTTTAGTGAAACTCAGTCAGTGACTGGTGGCAGCTGAAGGAGCTGTTCTTAACCTTTAAAGATCTAAACATTTGTGATGTGTGTTGTGTCAGGTGTCCGTTCTTTCCTCCATACTAAAACTGTGTACTCATGAAATAAAAGCTATTCACTGTGAGTTCTGTGAACACAGTTTTGTTTTTAGAGCTCATAATTGTCTCTTGACTATGGAAGTTGATATATGAAATTGGATGTAGCAAGGTGGAGCTATATATATAGACACTGCTGGTGGCTATAGACACTAGTTAGCAGGCATGTTTGTGTTGCACCTGCACAGTTTATGGATTGAGCTTGCTATCTAAACCGTTAAAAATTGGCCGATAACTTAGCGCTTTTAAATAATTTCAATAATTTGGTTGCAAAAAGACAGTTTAAGCACTAAAGTTGAGGTTTCAAAATGTTTACAGATCAATTTGTGACACCTTGGTGGTTACCGTTAAACTGGTGAGTTCAATGAAAATGTGCTTCTACTTCATTGTTAGAAATTGCGTAGGGATCAGATCCATTTTTTGCACCACGTTGTAATCGAGTTTATTCCTACTGTAAAGTTTTTGTTTGTTTGTTTGCTTTTTTGTATTTC